AGGTGGAGGAGTCCTCCGAGCGGCCCCCAGACCCACTCTGAGGCCCACAGGCCCTGGCCGGCGAGGAGCGGGCTGGGGAGGGTAGCCATAAGTGTTTCTAGTCTGGAGAGAATAAAAATGGGTTTGAAAGCCGTTTGTGCCCTGGCTGCTGTGGGGCCACCCGCCTCTGGCCCCTCATGCCACCCACGTGATAAAGCCAGGGGAGCCCACGGCCGGCTGCCATGTCTGTGGTGAGTGAGAAGATACGGGCCGGCGGGGAGGCGGGCTGTAAGGTCTCTGTGTTCATCCCCAGTGGTGGCCATGCCCAGGCCCGTGCCTCGGTTCCAATCCTGGGCGCACGGCTGCTGATCCTGGATATGTTTATTCATTATTCACTTAAATGTTTTTTTTAAAAAAAATAAACTACTTATTTTGGAATCATTTTAGATTTAAGATAAATAGCTAAAGTTCTAGCGAGTTCTCACGTGCTCTCACCCGGCTTCCCCTGATGTTCACATCGTCCATAGCACAGCGTGTTCGTCATAACCGAGAAGGCAACATGGGTACCTGTGATGGACGAAACGCCGGCTTTTACTTGAATTTCCCCCATCATTCCAACTTTTGATACTGGAAAATGTCAAACACACCCAAAGGAGAAAGAATAGAAAAATGACCCCCCATCCCCGGTACCCATTACTCAGATTCAACAATGATTTCCTGTATTTTCTCCACTTTCACTCACTCCCCGCTCCCTTGCTATTTTGATGCAAATCCCAGATTTTTTTTTCATCTGTAAATATTTCAGTTTGGGTAGATAAAGCCGTAGTTCTCAGCTGGGGCGGGTATTTTCTCCCCAGGGGACACTTGGCAGTGTCTGGGCGGGTTTGGTAGTCATCACGGGGCCACTATTAGCCTCTCGTGGGTGGGAGCCAGGGATGCTGCTCAATGACCTACAGCACCCAGGACAGACCTCCTCACAGGGAATGACCAGCCCCAATGTCCACAGTGCTGAGGGGAGAGGCCTTGCTCTTTATGATAACACCTCTCAAAAAAACAACCCCACAAATACCAGTATCATGTTTAAAGTAATGATTCCACTGGGGACACCTGGAAGTGTGAACAGTCCTGGTGTCCGTTTCTTTGGTTTGTCTGAGTCAGGGTGACGGGCTCCTAACTCTCATCTCTATCCACTGAGCCAAACCGGTCAGGGCTATGATAACACCTCTCAAAAAAACATCCCCACAAATACCAGTATCATGTTCAAAGTAATGATTCCACTGGGGTCACCTGGAAGTGTGAACAGTCCTGGTGTCCGTTTCTTTGGTTTGTCTGAGTCAGGGTGACGGGCTCCTAACTCTCATAATGGGGAGCTTTCCCCTCCATCTCTCTCTCTCTCTCAATTTTGCCTTGCTCTTTACTTGGTGAAGCAACTGGGTCATTCGCCCTTTGGTGATGTCCTTGGTCATCTGGGTTTTGCCACTTGGGTGTCCCTGTGGTGTCATTTAACATGTTCCTCAATCCCCTATATTTCCTGTGAATTTCTGCTTGGATTCAGAGACCAACTCAGATGTGGTTTAATTTTATGGTGAACAAACAAGGTGCTTCTTTCAGTCCCTAGCACGCCCCCTTTTGTAGAAGACTTGGGCCACTTTAAGGGTTCTTCTGGGATATGAGTGAGGGGCTCTTACTTGGCCATGGGGCAAGCATGATCAGGGAAGTCATGGCTCTGAGACTGGAATAGTGAGAAGGAGGTGAGGATGCAGGAAGAGTGTACCAGGCAGGTGGCACAGCATGTGCAAAGGCCCTGAGGCAAGACTAGGCCTCATGTGTTGGGAGGAACAGTGAGGAGGCCCATGTGACCAGAGCACAGTGAGGGAGGGGGGGGGAGAGAGGTAAGGGCAAGTGTGCAGGGCCTTATAAAGCTTGATAAGGAATTCAGTTTTTATTCTGAGGAGCTGAGTAAAACTATTGGAGGTTTCAAGTAGCTAAAAAAAATAATAATAATAAATTCCTGTTAGCAACAGTTCCAGGCCTCTATTTTATAAATGAGGCAACTGAGGCCCAGAGAGGCCAAGTCGCTTGCTTGGGATCACACAGTGTGTGGCGGTGATGGGATTTGGAGCCTGTAGTCTGGTCTTGGTGGATGCACAAGTGAGTACTGGCATGTACTCAGAGGTTTTGCTTTTTACACACATAAGTGTTTTCCACCCGTGCTTTGCTGGAGCTGAGAACCTCTGAGGTGGTTTAGGGGAAGCTTTTCCCTTCTCTGATTGATGAAGGCAAAGATGGGCCCTCGGTCGGCGGCTTGTGTGTGTGCTGGGGGCTGACCAACCAGAGCAGCTTCAGCACCTGGGGCTTGTTTGCTCATGAGCATGAATAGTCAGTTCGGGGAAGGCATGGAGGCCCCATGGTGTCCAGAGCCCAGGCTCCTCCCACCTCATTGCTCCATGTCCTCAGCAGGTGGGACAATACTATTTATTGGGGGCAGTGAGAACGGCACCAGGTGTTAGACCGGTGGAGTCAGACTGGACCTGGGTTCAGCAACCTCGGTACTTGAGTCCTGACTAGGAAAGCATTCAGAGCCAAGCCTCAAACTATAGGAGACCATCTATTTAGAAAATCACAGAGGTGGAAGAAACGGGCTCAGGAAACAAGTTGCAGAGGCAAAAGAAGGGCCCTTGGAGCTTGGGAGTGAAGAAGGTAGAGAAAGAAGGCCCAGGACATCCCAGTGCAGGTGAGCCAAGGCAGGTGGCAACCTTTTCACATGTAAATAGTATATTTTAAAAAATTATGTTTTCTGTTTGTTCCTGGTATAATAATACAGTTGGTTTTGTATATTGATCTTATAGCCAACCACCTTGTTTCATTCTGTTATTAATTCCAATAATTTGTTTGTACATTCTCTTGGGTTTTCTTTTTCAACTTATAATAATGAAAAGAATAATAAAAGCTGCAATGGTGTTCTTTCCCTACCTTTGGGTAAAATCTCAAAGAGATCCCATAAATGGTCTAGTCCAGCCGTGGGCAAACTACGGCCCGCGGGCCGGATCCGTCCTGTTTGAAATGAATAAAACTAAAAAAAAAAAAAACCGTACCCTTTTATGTAATGATGTTTACTTTGAATTTATATTAGTTCACACAAACACTCCATCCATGCTTTTGTTCCGGCCCTCCGGTCCAGTTTAAGAACCCAAGTTTGCCCACCCCTGGTCTAGGTCACCACTGATTGGTCGGTGCTGGGACAGGGCGTCATTATTCAATGCAGCTGGTCCTGAGGGCAGGGGTGGCATCGCTTATCTGATTTTTCTGCTTTTCTGGGCCTGGAGCTGAAATACAACTGAGGCCTAGATGTTATCTCTAGGGAGGAAAGATCAGGGGCCTAAACAATGACTAGTGAGATGCTAGGAGAGGGAGGCCACCCTGGGAGCGAGGTCCCACCCTACAGTTGTCCCTTGCTAGACCCCTGGGGCTTTCCACCCTGGTGACCTGCTGAACCTGGCCCATCATGCTCGCTCTGCGCATGTCTGTCTAACGGCCTAACACAGTACAGCTGCTTGAACTCCAGCCCTCACATCCGCATTCCAGTCAGTGAGGAAGAAGGGGTGAGGAAGGGCTCCCCTCTCCGAAGACGTTTCACAGAAATTCCACACATCGCTTCTCATAACCCATCGGCCAGAAGGTAGTCACGTGGCTATACTTCCTGAAAGGAAGCTGGGAAATGGAGTTTTTATTCCGAGTGGCCAGCAGTCCAGCTGAAAACCATGGGCGCTGTTATTATGGAAAAGGAGAGGACAGGTGCTAGGAGTGGCCAGCGTGGCCTGCCTTTTAGATTCCTTGACGGTCACAGGCACCACAGGGGAGCAGGTACATCCCAGGCACCTGACTTCTTCCCACTATTCAGTCTTTCCGAGCCTCAGTTTCCCCGTCTGTAAATAGAGGGCAGTGACAGCACTTGCCCTGCAGGGTTCCTTAAGCATGGATGGTTGTACACAGTGCCTGACACCTACTAAGCCAGCGGTTCTCAACCTGTGGGTCGAGAACAATGAAAATACATCCTGCATATCAGATATTTACATGACGATTCATGACAGTAGCAAAATTACAGTTATGAAGTAGCAACGAAAATAATTTTATGGTTGGGGGTCACCACAACATGAGGAACTGTATTAAAGGGTCGCGGCATCAGGAAGGTTGAGAACCACTGTACTAAGTGATCTGTCAGTATCTGTCGATCAACTAAGTGACATGCCCACAGCCCGGCTATAAAACTGGATGATCAGCTCTGTGATGGGAGGAACTCAGGCGCTGTGTTAACTCAAATGGAGGTGCCTGACCCAACCCAGAGAATCTGGAAGGCTTCCTGGAGGCGGAGTCCTCTGAGCAGAAGGAGCAGGGGTCAGTACTGTAAAAAGGAAAGTGATTCTGGCAGCTGGAACAGCATGGGCAAAGGCCCCAAGCAGCCTGGACTGGCATCTAGTGGGTGCCTAATAAGGTGCACACAGAGCCCTTGCCCCCAAATCTGGAATTCCCCCCTCTGAGAAGGGGCCTTAGCTTTATCACAGCCTCCTCAGTCCCCCAACAGCCAGGCTTGGGCCCTCCTCCAGCCGCCTCCAGGGAAGCTGGCCGCTGCCAAGGACCGCCAGCCCGTGCCAGCCCCTGGTCCTTCCTGGTGGCTGCTCTAGGTAAGCACCAGCGGAGCCTCCTCCTGCCCATCCAGGCAGTGGCCCATCTGTGTGGTCTAAGGGGCCGTGTGGCCAAATGGGGGGAGCTGAGACTCAGAGGAGGGTGACTAGCCTTGGTGCAGGGAGACTAGAAGCCGCCAGCATGACTGCTGAGCACACACGGCGGCCAGGTGCCTGCACGGACTCCTTGTGCCCTGAGCCAGGTCCCTGCGCACA